TTTTCCAAAAGAAAACCTAAAATTTGGATTTCATTATATTTTTTGGTTAGACTTCATTTGGCTGAAGTTATGATGGCCGTCCATAGGATATTCGACGCTGAAATCAATCTCTTCACTGTTCCAGAGGAGCTTCGTACCAACTCTGCAAAGGAGGAAGCTGCTGTTGTGCTCGGCGAGATTCTGTGCGAGGGTCATTTTTTTCGAGCATGTGCTGCCGAATGGCATGAAGCATGAAGTGCTAGGCACCCTGAGAATTTGAAAAGAATTTTGCGTGTGCTATAGAAGTTTATACACGGAAACGAGGTTCATTTTTTCTGAGCAGCCTTCCAATGCCAAAAAAGGAGCGAAAAAATCTGTTCCGGAAAGGAAGTTTTTATAGCCTTCAAGTGGTGCTGAGAACGTATACTCATTGTTGGATACTTATTTGCGCGGGTCCCAACTTCTCTTCCATCACTCTCGGTCTTGAGCTGCGGTTAACCAGTGAACAGAAATCTTGAAGGACAAGGAATCAAATACGTTGTTGCGATATGCCAAAGAGCCTGCATTGTGAGCGTGTAGCATTGACAAATTATACATTGAAAGGTTCCGTAGACAGGACATTGAAAACGGCGCAAAAATTCGTCAAGAATGAGCTGCTCTCAATGACGTGTGCCGTCAGAACTACAGGCATTTCTAGGCGAAGCCATCGCTTTGCCACTGAAGGTGGTCGATTGGTAGAGAGGATTGCAATGTGAGCTCACATTGGCTCGGCATGATTTCATATAACCCTCATAATAGAAGTTCCAGTGAAAATTGAGATTTCAACGCGACTTCGAGAAACTGGGCCCCGGTAAGTCAGTAGCCAGTCATGCTACTGGCAGAAGACATGTGGATGAACTCCTACTCGCATTTGATAGCTAGTTTATTCTGTCCTTGATGCGGCTTTCAGTGGAATAAATTCCGCTAGAGTGCGTACCATTTGGTGCGCGGTCTACGACATGGTCGAAGGCCAACAAATCTTTGCAAGTTTTCTCGAAACCATTCGCGGCAGGGCCAACACGCCAAAGGAGGTGATCTAGCTATGGTTTTCGGAATAGGAGATGAGGGGAGGGGGTCGTGTTTGAGGTCGATCAAGATTGACCATCCGAAAACCATTGCGAAAAACGCATAAGATGGGCGCAGTTAGAGAATTCACTGTTGAGTAGGGTTCAAATACCCCTCATCCACCTCGAATCTTTCGCTCTACCACTTTCGACGGTCATCACTGGTTCGCAATTGCTTCAGTTAAGAAAGTCTTCAAGGGAGTAATGGCCATTTTCGAAGGAAACTGTGACGGAAGACTCACAAAAAAGTGAGGGTTAAGCCTCTGGAGTGAGCCATGCTTCCTACGACAACACTATTCATAGCCGTGAGGTCATGTAAACCATGCGATGAAATACTTAACACATACGACGAATTACAACCCCTAAGTCAGGACATTTCTGGGCATTCGTAACTAGCTGTTCAACAAGTAATTGAGCATAAGACGATGAGTCGGAACGTGCTGGGCATGATCCTCCTGAATTGTCCTTAGCGTAGAGGACTTCTTACCACCTCTGACATTGTCAAGTTCCCCATCGCCTTGGTCGTTCATTCATGTCATTTTTAGAGGATTAAGCTCGCAACATTGTCGTTCTCTTATCTATGCCGAATTTAGATCATGCTCACGAATGGAGCGAATTCCTGGTCGCTGCAAATGACGCCGTAATCGAATTACAACACCTCTTAACACATACGCGGCCGCATGTACCTCAGGGATTCCACTCACCACTCGAGAGGAACAGAGAAAATGAATCTATACCTGTCAGCCAAAATGGACACCAATGAGTGTTTTCCCTGGTTGCAAATGTCTCCCATTTCTCGGACTGCCCAGTTTTTCGCGTGGAAAATTGTAAATTATCAAATATTGTACCTACCTTGATTGCAAGGGAGTTAATGGAACATTTTGGGAGTGGCTTGAGTGACTAGAGATATGGGCCTGCGGAAAAAAACTACTACTTTACAACCGCCACACGCTGTCTGGATAATTTTACTCTGCCAATGTTTTTATATAATAAATTTAATTTTTTAAGTGAATTTATAATTTAATATATGAATTTTACTCTTGCAATGTTATTTGTTTCAAATGGTAAATTTTCAAATATGTGTACCTGACCTGCATGCACAGGAGTTTGAGGAGTTTATAGCGGTTGTGCATGCAACGCGTGGACACCTTGATTGTCGCCGCTTGACTTTATTACACTCTAAAACGGGTAACGGCTGAGACGGCGCCCATGTATGGACGAGTTTTAGCGCGCAACGGCGTTTGATCGGCACGATTCGGCCAATCCACGCTCCAGTCAAGTTGCTCCACTGTGCTGGTGCAGGCAGGCAACACAGCTCGTCCAAATCATCAACTAAACTAGTGGGTGGAGCGCTTTTGGGGCGGAGCGCTTTTCAGGCACTGCTCAGCAACCAGCGCACCTTTCTTTTGTAAAAGCGTTACACCTCTCTCCCTCGGCAGCCAAGCTACTGCTTCGTGTGGCGTAGATAGTTCCCGATGTGCTCTGCCTTTATCGTAATCGCTTCTTTTACTGCTTTGCAAGAGTTGTGCAAAAGCTAGAAATACGGAGGTTCCGAAACATTCTCTCAGTGTTATTAATTACCGTCTAGAGTAAAGTCAACGTCAACAAGGGATCCCGCGTTTTCTAGACGGAATTCTCTGCTTTTTTCGTATTTGCGTGCCATCGAGCATTCCCACGTCCCCCATCGAACACCGCTAGAACCTGCGTCTAATCCAAGCATTGAAGAGCTCACGTTGGAGTATATGTTAAACGAATGATTTTCATAATTTAACGCCTGGCTTTCACATTTTCAAGCCTCACATTAGTGATGAAAACCATCATCTGGGGTGTGGAGATTTGGTCGTATTTATTCATTCTGCGAATTCAGCACCAATATAAACTTACACTGTGTGATTATGCGTAATCATCAGGAATAAAATCTTTGTGGAAACTCTGATTAGCGGTAAGGCATACATCTTACAGGGTTGGTTTTGCAGGGCTGAGGTGACTGCAGACTGGGAATAATTTGGAACCAAATCTGAAAAAGATACCGTTTGATCAATCAATGGCCGGCAAATCGTGGGACCGGTAGTCAGCTGTACAAGGCTCTGAGCGCTGAGAATAGGACTGTGCAGGAATTCCGAATAAAGGCCAAATGCATTGCGATGCCCGAGCAGGAAGAAAAATGAGGCCCCAACGGGGGGGGGGTGTTCATCCGGTATGGGGCATGTGGTGCAACGTATCGATATCCGGCAAAAGTCAGGTTTCAGCAGACGACAGCAGGAGCAGGGAAGCAAGAAGTCAACCGTCACGTTTTTTGCTTTTTTCATGATTTCGACCCCCGTGGCCGTCTCGATGTGACCAGTTCCCCACCCCTTCATCGGGTCTCGAAGGGCTTCCCAAGTACGATTCCTTTCTCACGATCCTCATCATCATGGCTATTTCTATAGTATTTGGTTTTGAACCTCAACAAAGCCTGACCACGCTCATTTTTTTCCACCAAAGCGGCTATCGAGGTGGGGGGACGGGACTGGTATCATATCATGAAGCGGAAAATCCAACAATTCCACCTAATTCTTGCTACTTTCGTGAAACATTTCGCCAAATTTTATCAAAAAAATCGTCCAAACACAACCCTTTACCGACCTCGGTCGACCTCCGTTCACATTATGATAACCCTGCTCAACCCCTAAAAGGGACCCCCTTCCCGAGATCACAAATGCGACCTTCTCGTTCGAATAGCGCGAACGGACCTTTCGGCCTGGGGGCCTGGAATGGATATAGAAGCGAAAGCGAAATGGTCATCGCAGATTTACTCTTCTTACAAAATCGGAATTTCTGCAGGCGGCAGCAAGTGTCGCAACACTTCACCTTTGAATAAGACCATAGAAATTTGTCCCGAATTCAACAAGACTGGTGACTCTACAATCTACGCGACCGCAGTCCCTTTCATGACCGGCGAAGGACAGAGAGATGGAAAGAGAGCGAAAAGGAAAGAACGTCGCTCTCCTATTATGTCATCATCGGTAACGATAAAGATCTTAGTAACGACCGCGAATTTGCGCAACGAGGCACGCGTCGGCTATAATTGGTGGCTGACAATAGGCAGGACAAGTGGAAAAAGAGGCTAGGAGCTGTCCTGGCACCGAAAATGAGAAATTCTTTTTGTTCTCTCCGTAATTTCTTTTTTATTCCACAGTCATATCTGCTCATTCTTTGAATTCGCCCAATGCGACCCCCCTTCCCCTTAGCAAAAAATTAAAATTAGCTGTGTCCACAATTCTGAACCTTTTTTTTTGTCGAACTCGACCAAGCTATGAAGCCTAAGCGGACAGCGAAACTGGGTGGGACAAACGCTAAAGAATATGAAGAAGATCAAGCTGTGACTCCTAACAATATGAACACTATGAATAACAATATGAATCTTAACAATCCTGTACTAAACTCTTATGTCCTCACCTTTGCCCATGTGGGATCGAGTTCGATGGCCGATCGCGCGCTAACGAGCGCCTCCTGGAGACGATCGAGTCGAAGTAGGATCGCTGCTTTGTTCGCAAAGAGGATCGCATTGGTGGGCCTCGCCACAATGGCCTTCTCGTATAGCTCTAGTGCTTCCAAGTACCGTCCTTCCGAGTAGGCCGAGCCAGCGGTGACGATGATCGATTCCAGATCATCGTCTGTCATCGACTTGCGCTGGAGAAACCTGTCGATGCCGTGAGGTCCAGGTGTTCGGTTTCAGTCTGAAGAAGCATGAGGTGAATTTGTGAGGGTGAGAAAGAATAAGAGGAGGGTAAGAATCTCAACTGTGACTTATAATAGAGAAAAGAAAGGTATTCATTTTTGGATAAAGAAACAATAAATGGTGAGTTCAGCCTTCTGTGGAGAATCAGTCCAGCTGTTCTATTCAGCAGCAAGCGGAGGCTAATGAACAGCTTAAGAAACTTGTTCAAAGAAGAGAACGATAATAGAGGCACGGCAAAAGCAGCTCAAGAGGCATCGCCTAATGAAAACTGAGGAAAAAATGTGATGTGAGTGGATTCGACATCCCCACCCCTGAACCTCCACCATAGACTATGAAATACGAAACAAGGATACAGAGTTGCCAATATGGCGATATCTGAGGAGTGCAGATAAGTGGCACTTGTTAAAAAGTCACGGATGGACGAGTTTGAGGGCCATTTCTAAAGACGACGACGACGCTCGAAATGACGGGTTAATGGGACAATCGCGTAACCGCACACGCCCTCTCCCACCGTGCACAGCATGAAGAGAAGAGAGTGAACGTGACTCGTCATCGGACCAGACGACCTTCGGAACGAACACGATCAATGGGCAAACCACCCGAAATCACTTCGAAACGATAGCGGCCATAAACGGTGGCGCGCTGAGCAGCGGCTGATGAGGTCGCTTGACGTCTTTTCTTTGGAATCGCGTAGACGGGTCTTCCTTCGTAGGGGCGGGAAGCGACAACACTTCATAAACGCCCTTCGAAAGGAAACTGCTGGTTGAGCTGGTTGACAAGATTCAAAGAGAATAGCTTATTTTGTTGGAGCTGGTTCACCTTTCAAGGGTATCAGCGGTCTGATTCCTTGCTTAGTTCAGAAGCCAGGAATCATCGCAGGGAGGAGAATTCCAGCTTCTCAGTAAAACTTAAAGGCACAACCCAGGTAGAGGTCGTGTAAACGCTTCCCTTCGGTCTGTACAGATCAGGGTCGGTCCTACCGTTGCGACTTTTCAGAAATTTTTACGACCCCCCTTCACCACCCTCGCCATTATGGTCGCTGTTTCTATAGTATTTAATTTATAAGACCACTCGACATACCTAACTCCACCCACTTTTCCCTCCAAAACAGCCGTCGAGCGGGGCATATACGTACAGTAAAACGGCAAAATTTTTCCCGCTCCTTCACACTACGCGCCCTAAACTCACCCATCAATTAACACTACATCGAATACCACCCCCCCCCCCCTAGTGGGATAGACCCTAGAGGACAATCACAGATGTGGCATTCCCGTGCACGGAAACCAACCGACAAGAGCGCTTGGGCCTTGCAAAGTAAGCTGCTGCAGCTGCATTTTTTCTTTATCAGGCTGTTGTCTGGCGCTCTCTCATCTGTAGCGCTCTCTCGCCTCATACTCTCCTCTCCGCGCTTAGTCTCTCATTCCCTTAGCACAGCCGATTAGGAAGGTGAGTGAGCCCTTAACCTAAGCGTTTTCGACGGATTCTTTTCCTTTTTTCTTTACTGCCGGCCCATTTCGCACCAATACATTCGCATTCGTGTGCAAGAGCCACACCAATGTGATCCTGGGGCATGCCTTCAAGAAAGTAGGCCAGTCGGTGATATTTAGAAGGGTAACAATGAAGAACTTTTTTCCTGGACGCGACTTCAATTGTATCTTTTGGGCAGTGTCTAACTACTTACGTCTATTCTGAACACCGAGAGGAAACCTGACAAGTTATTATTACGCTGACATCCTTGACCATTGGCGATATTGCGGCTCGCCTGTTTGGAATGCACCCTAAAAAAACAACGCCTTTTCAATTCTTCCAGTATCACCTCGTCGACCAGCAGGCAACTTAATATCTAGTAGGTATCCTAGTTCGGCGCCAAGCGCCATTTTGGCGCCAGTTGGTAAATTTTTTGCGAATTTCGCTTAAAAAAAATTGCGATAGGAGTCACTGAGAGGCTCCTGAGCATGGAAACTGGCAACTCTTTTGGTGTCGATTGCGCCAGGCGGCTTCTTTTACGCCAACTATTCTCCGCTTACAAACAGAGGGATCTGACGGTCGAGCATGAAGATAATATCCGTTTTTTTTTTCGCGCCGCACCATTTGGCGCTAGTAATTGCAGCACAGATATCACAACTCTCAGTTCACGACTGGTTTGTTGGGAAAAGCCGTGGCGTCAAAAACGGAATCACTGTAATTCACTTCATTTTTCATACATTATTTTTATTATACCAGATTAGTCCCCCGTCAACCGCCGGGACCTTCCTTTCCTGCGCAAGCTTTCTATCCTCCGCTATGGTCCCTTCCTCCTGTGACACCAACACCTCGTGGAAGTGACGCGTATGCTTTCAAACAGTAGAAGGGACACAATCATGATATGACGGTAGATTTTTCGCTTCCCTTCCTCATCCTCCCTTCCTCTCTCCACTGCCCTCCAGCTGCCACTGCAGCACCATGTGGAATGAACGGAAGTGTGCTAAGCAGGTGTTTATATAGCCCTAAGAGTGTTATCACAACTATCCTGCTACAAAACATTGATATCTCAAATCCTGTAAGCTACCCGATTTGTTAGCGGTTTGTTTATCCCATGAGCTTCCTTCTCACTCACTTCATTTTGCGGACGGACACACATACATACATACATACATACACACATACATACATACATACATACATACATACATACATACATACATACATACATACATACATACATACATACATACATACATACATACATACACACACATACAGACATACAAACCGACACACAAAGTTAGCGCTTTATAAAATAGAAGGATTCCGCCGAGTTTCACCGGAGTTATGTTAATCGAAAAGACTGCCTTCTGGAACAATGCGTCCCCACGTCGAGCCGCAAAGGAAAATGCGCGCGGTCCCACGTGGCAGACACGCGAAAGAGCGCATTGTCGCCAATATGTCGAAAGACGGCAATAGGTGATGTTCAAGGGTTTTCAATGCAGAGTTAGTCCATCGATCTCACTCGCGGCCTTCAAATTACTTGGATGGCACCGTAGGGTATTGGTGTGGAACTCGTGAAATAAACTGCTGTACCACCTCATTACAACAGTGAGGAGAGCACGAAATGCCGGAAGCAGGTCCAGAAATCAACAGAGTTGCAAGCGCTCATCCCAAAACTATGAACAACCCCATATATTTGGACCAAACAGAATTGATAAGAGATCGCTCCCATTGAGTTGGGCATGGTTTCCGTCGCTTACGCTCCAGTGAAAAACCACAAGCACATCGCTCACTATGTAGTGAGCGCCTTCAAGACACAAAGCGATTCCCAAAATGGCTTTTGTCACGTAGCGCTAATATTTTTTGGAAAAGCTTAAGAAAAAAATAAACCTCATTCAGTTGTTTCATACGCGTTCACTTATACCATGAAAAAAAAAGTTTGAAAAGAAGGATCTCACCGTGCTAAACGATCTCCTCAGCGATTGTAACCCTTGGGATATCTATTCAGTGGCGACTACACCATCAATCGTCTGTCGCCTAGCCGCGGATACTCGATTTCGCTGCGTCAATACTATTCATTTTCTTACCTGATACTTATGTTATAATTTCATAGAAAACAAAAGAAAAAGCATTGCACCAGCTTAATTCCGTTTTGACGAGTTCTACTTATATTCCAAACGGAGATCGCGAACATAGTGTCAAATAAAGGACCCAAAGAATTGAAAGAAATGATAGGTTCTGTTACTCTGGCTTAAATTTGGCCCAGGACTTGGCATATCGACCGCGCCGTTGGCCCGTGGCGCCACTTACCACTACCGCGTTCCTGCTCCTACATGCGTTATCATTTCCATCTTCACTTTTTTGAAGGAAGGAACTATTCTTGGGCAAGAAAAGATCTGTAGGGTGCTCTGAGTGTAGAAGACCGTTAAAAACCACATACTCAAGACCACACAGAAGCGACTCTTCACAAGCCATTCAAGAAGGCCAAGCACTGACATGCGTGGGAATTTTTCATGGTGAAACGCACCGAGAAAGCGCGACTGCCGAAAGCGGGTAGAGCTTATTGAAAATAAGGAGCAACGGTAAACAGCTACGTAAGAAGGTGCTGCTTGTCAAATATCGGGCGCTGTTGCCAAGTCCTTATCATTAGGACCTTCGACAGAACAGAGGATGCTTTTTTGCGACCTTCACTATGCAATTCTTGAACCGCTTTTACATTCAGGCTCTGCCATACCACGAAGAAACATATGATTTGCAGTCCTGATACGGTAAATTCCCGATCCCTTACGAATGTCTGCACGCCAAATATTGTTTACTGGAAAGTATGCGAAGCATTAAATACCCCTGACATCTTTGTTTGGCTAATTCTATCCCTGGGCGTTTCCCCTATAGGTCGCACCCTAAATTTTTGCTATTCCAAAGTTGCTGTGCATTTTTGGGAAAATGCCGCTATTACCAATAGATTCCCCATAACGAAAAACCTCGATACTGAATTCCTGGAGAAATCTCGATCTAAGAATTAGTGAAATATCTTTTTTAGAGCGTATTTTCACCGGTTCGCAAATATGACTACACATCACTTGTCGAGAAACTTTATTACAAAATAGAACATTACAATTTTCACAATGGTGGTAGGCATGCCAATGGTCATAGGGACCACACTAATACGTTTTAGAATTCTTGTAACCAAGTTAGCTATTATATTGAGATCGAAATTTGTCTGTGGGCCAATAACCGAAGTTTTCAGCTCTTCCACTGTTCCGTTTTGATTTTCTAGCTGTAAAACTTTTTTTTTTTAAACAATAAGAGAAGGTGTCGTGTGTAGGTTGGGATCCTGGAGGCCGATGATTCTCCGTTGGAATCTGATTTAGCAGAACAGCGGGCCTAGTTAGAGAAATTGCCCCAAACATTTCCTCTATCCACATTCCCTTTTGCTGTGTGTAAGGAGGGATGGTATGAGTAGATCGTATTGTGGTAAGAGTAGAGTGGTGCCGAGGGTTTCTACATATGTTATAGTGGTTATAGAACTGGGTGAGGTGGGTTTGCGTAGTGTGATAGTGTCTTGTGTTGAAGTTAAGCGTGGGTGGGTTTGGAGAGGAAAATGAATATGTTTTGGGATTGTAGAGAGTGGATAGATTGTGATTGACGTTGGGATATTGGGTTAGAGTAATTAGGATGTTGGCATGCGCTTACCACGCAAGCGTCTAGGACATCAAATCCTGTCGTTAGTCTGCCTTTGGGCCATCCATGATACATCCTCTGGGGTCGGTAATGGGTACAACTAGCACTCGGAGCAGTGAAACACTGATTGTACATCGCTGCGTCACTGCTTTTCCTATTGTCCTTTATGCTTCTTGTAAAACATGCGCCTTGCCTTAATACGCCTACCACATAGCGACTGTGCGCTTCCAAGGAGTAAATTCCAGAAAGTCAGATTCTCCCTAGTATGAGCCACTTCGCCGAGATCGATAACTTCAAAATCTGCGCGGATGCCATCTGTCGTCTGCAATTGAGAATCAACTCGCTTTGGTCCCGAACAAAAGCGGAAACGTACGCATGTTTGTCATCGACCACATCATCGTTGATTTTGAATAACTTATTGGAACGCATATTGGGCGGGTAGGCTAGGCATAGCAGATCTTATTGTCAGCGTTCCGCGCTCTAAAGTCCACCTAGTACTAACCAATGGTTAGTCAGGGTTACATAATTGGGACGGTTTCAGCCAGGGTGAATCTATTAGACCCTGATAGCGTGCCCATCTGCTCTAGGCTTGAAATCAAGTAGAACAGTCAATTACCAGTTCCTTATCAAATTTTGCAGGGATGTATGCGTGTCAGTGACTACGTGGTGCCAGCAGAGAGACTCGGTGGTGTTTATGACATGACTTACGTGACGCTCGACATCGTCGTCCCAGGCGAGAGTGAGGAGTGCTGAAGTTCATCGCCATGGTCTAGTCCTAGTAATTTCGTTATTATTTGCTAATTTGTTTTCTTGATGTATGTTCATTCAGTTGTAAAAAGGCTTAAGTGAATTGTTTTTTGTACAGGAAGCAATATTTCATTTATTGTAATACTTATGTACAGATTTCATAAAGATGACAATGCTAAATGTTTTCTGTTTGACTGACCATGGAGAAATACTAGCAGGTTCCTTTAGAGTCAAGGGCTAAGTTATAAAGGACAAACTATCAGGCGCTGATCATCCACTTTCGGATGCGCCACGCATTCGACTCCCGCTCAGAATTGACACGAGCACCGCTTGATGCGATGTGCCTTCACATATTGACGTTGGGGCAGGGTCAACCGTCCTGTTCGAACTGTTCGAACGAAGGGGTCGCATTTTGGTCGGAAGGGGTCGCGCAATTTCGAGGACTGCCAGCCACAGGCGCGTGCGTGGCGTATCCGAGGGCAAGAATTGTTTGTGCAGACCGCATTAGATTCGATTAATTATGCACAAAGAGACAGTTTTGGGCAAATTACGGTGTTTTCCTTGAGGAATAGAGAACAGTTGAATGCATCTCCATGAAAAGTTTGACTTCTTGTGGCTGAAATTGAACTTCTTCGGGAACCTACTTTTCTACGGACGGTTCTTCCACAAAATCGTGAAACACATAAGAAAGAAGAAACCTCGCGGTCTTCAAAAATGTCTTCGCCTCTTTCCAACATGCTCTTTGAAGGAAGTTATTATTGCTGAAAGCTCGAAACCTCGCATGTGCTGCTCAAAAACCTATGGGATCCAAATGTTCGAACGTGGGATTTTCTCGAAAAATGAACTTTGAAAAATGGTTTAGGGCTTGTTAGAAAGAGCAAA